AAACTCGACCAGATATTAGAGATCTGACAATGGACTAGGAGCGCTGGAGATCTTTAAGTCCTTTGAACACTACAACTGCAAACTGCTGTTTTTATTAGGATTTTATGTGACTGACCTGAACAGCAGAGGTCAGACATGATTAAGAGGAAGGAAAATGAAAAGCGAAGAAGAACGAACCCGTCAAGACGTGCAGGCCAGATCTTTTCACACCAGATCGAACCGTAAACTCAGTTCGATTTGGGAGCAAAACTGCAACATTTGTTGCATTTTCAGCTGCTGCTGTTATCTCCAAGCCGTTTCTGCAACCTGTTCCCCTCCTCACCTGTGGGGGCGCTGCACTAAAAACCACTGAAGGAAAACACTGAGTGCAACTCCCATCTCCGTGAAATCTAAATTAAAAATGGATCAGCGTCAGATTTTAGCAGTTGGAGGATTTCTCGGGTCATCCTTCCCGCTAGCACTACCTAGCATATTTGTTTTGGTTGCATTTACCCAGAATGCCCTGCACTGCAGTCCACTTCCTGCTTTTGGAGCGGTCTCCAGTCCAGTTGGCATTCACATATGCATTAATGCACCAGATTTCTAGTGAAACGGACTGGAGTTTATCAAATTACAAAGCTAACTGTACAGATGTTATTTTCCTTCCTTTTCACGGCTGTGAAATCCTGATCTTCTCCACGGTGGTTTAGGGTGAGCGATGTGATTCCACCTCCAAGGCACCGTTAGCGTCAGATACTTCTTAACACTTTTATGACATTTCATGCATGTTTCAGTTTCTGCACCGGCTGGTTCAGGCAGAAAAAGCAGATTTTCCCGTCACACAGGTAAAGTTTATCACCGACGACATCGAAGCGATAAAAATATGCTTTAAAAACGCAGATGATTAAGATTCAGAAGCAGCTTTTCTTCTTTTCCTCTCTTCTCTCTGTACATGAACGCGGCGCAACATGGAGGACTTGCTTTGTCACGTCACACAGATCAGAAGACGAATGAGACTTGGAGACGATGTGGAGCCGTGAGAGAAGCACAGCGAAGCAGCTGCATAGCCTGGACATTTACACGCTTCAGGGTCCGAAACCCGACAAATCTGACGTCTCAAAGACCCGCTTCTAATAAAACACCAAGTTTAAACATTCTGGAGCTCTTGAGGAAACCCAAGATTACAATTTTAGTTTGAAGAAATGAAGTGAGTGAGAGCTGGAGTAAAGGTTGCTGTGGACCGTCAGCCCGACACCACGCAGCAGAGTCCGGGGAAGCGCCTCTTCCTCTGCCGGACCAGCGGTTGGGGAGTCAGGTTCAACAAGCTGCTGTCGTCTGGAACGGGTCAGAACATCCAGAATTCACATGATGAGCAGAACACTTCATCTGAGCTCATAGCTAAATGTTTCTGGTTTTAGGGTTGGGGTTCGGTTCGGTTTTTACAGCTTCAGGTCCGATTACTGTCAGGTCTGCAGAATCAGACAATCAGCTGAACTGAATCTGTCTGACAGGATGAAGTAGGCAGTGGAGGGCACTGCTAGCTAAAAGGGTAGCTGCGCTAGCCCTACAGTACAAACCCACAATGGTAGTTTCACTAAAGCTAAGGCAGTACAACAAATGGGAGCTAATATAAAGTGCTTTAGCAACACGGTATTTAGCAGAAGCTAATGGCAAAGCGCTACATTAGCATAGTACTTAGTAAAAGCTAATGCTAAAGCACTACAGCAACATAACAAATGCTAATGCTAAAGTGTTACAACAACCTGGTATTTAATAAAAGCTAATGCTTGTCAAGTCAGGAGTTCTATAACTGGTTAGTTTAGGAGTTTTGTCTTTGGGACAGAAACATTTCCACCATCAAAATGTCCGCCTCATCAAGATCACTGAGTCCAGAAACTAAATATATTAAATCCATGATATCATAACTTGTTATTCCAAGCAGTATTTTCATTGATCCTACATTGGATGTACCTTGATTTTTCAGTGGCAGCGGCATCGTCTCCCTGAGTTTGCTGAGTAAGTTTCTCATCTCTTTCATGTCTCTGCCAACAGAAACACGTCGGGTTGAGTCACATGGCGGAACAGAAAACAGAAGAAGAACAGAGCAGCACCTCTCTATGTTGTCGATGTCCGTCCCCACCAGCCACGTCTCCTGAGGGTAATCGATGGGAGACGACGAGCGTTCCTCCAGGATGGGAACGTCCGAGCTCTCGTCCATCCGGAAGTCGACTCTGGGTTCCGATTCGGTTCCTGCGGGGAGGAAAACCCACGAATAGAGTGACAACAACCCACACCTGCTCACTGCCTCCAGGAGGATCAGAGTTTCACTTAAATCTCCAGTTTTATTCAGACCAAACAAAGATTTCCTTGGAAAAAATATCTTAATAATTCAATCAACTCTCTGCTGCCATCTGGTGGTCAGAGAAAGATCTCAACCATGTTTGATGAACATTTTAGTTGCTAATATTTTGCTTAATTCCGATGCTAATAATAGAGCTAATTGTTCCTTTTAGCGTATTAGCATATTTGCTCATTTTGAAAATGTTTAGCGCACTTAGCTTCACATAAATTCATATCCTGTTTAGGATGATGTACCGTTTTGAATAGAGTTGAGTAGTAACTAGTTACATTGACTTAGTAACTTTTTAAAAATATATATACTTTTAGGAGTATTTTTACTACGCTGTACTTTTTACTTCTACTAGAGTAATTTTATTGTGAAATATTTCTGCTCTTACTTGAGTAAAAATTCTGAATGTTTGATTTTCACTGAATGAAAAACAAACATGTTTTAACCAAAAATTCAAGTTTATAAGTTTTTTTATTAAAGGAAACTATTTTTTTTTTAAATTAGTCTTTAAAATGCCAAAATTTTCACATAACTTTATATTTAAACTAATGTTTATTATGTTTTCTAACTGAGTCTGGTTATGAAACCATGTAGAGGTGGAGATCAGTAATAAAACGGGTTTCTGTTGGCGTGTTGGTACCTCTCCTGTGCAGCTGCAGAACCCCCAGCAGGCACATGGACTTGAGCATCTCGGTGATGAACATCTCCAGGCAGCACTGCAGCTGGATGAAGAGCCGGCAGATTTCAGGATGGATCTGTCCGTCCTCCGGCCTGCAGCAGGAAAGATGAATGAGGAGATTCACAGACGGAGATCCAGATTTAGACTCACTAATGCGTCCGGGAAAAAGGGATGAAAAAACCCAAAAACTGTGGAACTGAAATTGTTACATACTCTATCAGTTTGTGGTATAATTTTCTAATCTAATACTTTGTTTGTTTTCTTTTATTCGATGATGATACATAAAATATTCTGCTGCTTTGTTTTTAATAAGGTTTTATGGACAAAGTTATTCTACCTTCACTGGAATTTAATTATTTATTTTTGTTCATCTTGTTTTATTCTGTATTTTTTCCTTATATTTTGACTTGTGCATGTAGAAGGAAAAACAAAATGACAGATAATAAATCATTTTCACTCTGATTCTCATTTAGTCTTGAAGATTATTTCAAAACAACATCTGATACTTTATCGCAATAATTACAGGAACAATGTATCGTCCAGGACAATGTGTTGCTGCAACGGTAACAAATCAGTAACATGCTGATCCATACTGATCCAAGCTGCTGCGGTTCGTGTTTACCCGGATCCAGAGATGACGGCCAGGTCCTGGTGCGCGGCCCGGGCCATGCAGCATCCTTTGGACCGGGTCTGGTGCATCTGAGCCCGCAGAGCCGGACAGTCCACCGAGATCTCCCCGACAGAGATGACCTGCTCCCGGTACAGAGCCACCAGCGTGTTGAACTCCTGCACCGTCTGCAACAGGACAGGAGGGCAGTCAGCACCGGTCCGGGTTGGATCCATGTCATGTGTCTCTACCCACCATCCTGCTGCCGTCCACCGCCGCCTCCGCGCTCTCCCGCCGCTCCGGATCCGCCTGCGCCCCCTTGCTGCTGGGGAAGATGCTCCCTGCGGATCTTGGGCGCTTTTTCCGCCCGTACGGTGCGGAACACATGCATGCACCCCCTGCGCCGGAGCCCGCCCAGACAGAGGCACCCCGAAATAAAAAATACCCAGAAAAGATCCGGCAGAAGGTGTCGGCTCAGTCGGCTCGCTGGGCCTCCCTTCCCCGGCTGTAAGCGCTGGTTTCCCGGGGAAACAGGAGCTGGAGTCCGGCCGATGGGAGCCGCAGCAGCCGCGTCCGCATCCCAGCCGAGATGGAGTCACCTTCAGCCGCCTGTGAAGGCCGACAGGAGGGGGCGCTGCTGGGCTTCCGCCCTGCCTCACTGTGCAGGAGCAACAGCAAAACCAGTCGTCACCAGATTAACTGTTTGAGGACGAGAGGAAAAACCCACCGGGTTTAACCGCATCAAACTGGGTTCATTTAAATGATGACGGGTTTAGTTTCAGACTGCAGCCCGTCAATAATACAAAACAAGTTTGTCTTATTTTCACCAAGTAATTAATTCATTCTTCAGTTTCAAACTAAATATCTAATTAGCAAGCCAAATATTTAGTTACCAGTAATATATATTCAAACTAAATATTTCATTTAAAGTTGATTTTTTTAGTTAAATGTTTAGTCTAAACTCTTAACAGGTTAAACATTTAAATACATTTAAATATTCAGCTTTTTAGGTAGAAAGTAAATTAAGTTTTAAGCCACATATTTAGTTAGCAAGGTAAATATTTAGTCTACCAACTAAATTTAGACTTCAAACCAACTCAACCCGTTGAGCAGCCTGTTCCCCTCCTGGCCTGTGGGGGCGCTGCACCAAGAACCACTGAAGGAAACGACACTGAGGCAACTTCCTTCTTCATGAAACCTAAATAAAAATGGAGTAGTGTAAGATTTTTTCTCTTTGGTAAAAGGACGCAGCGTTTCTCCTGCTAGCGCTAAGCTAACGTGTCTGTTGTGGTTGGATTTATTGTCTGAGTCATGGTCAGGAACAATGACTCAGCATAACAAAAGGCTCAGAAACCATCGACACCTTTAACGTCTCAGTCCTTGAAAAGTCAAGAAATTTATTTGGCAAGCAGTTGGAACCGTTTCTGAGGTTCTGCAGGATTTAAAGAGTCTCTGAAGTTCATCGGATTAAAACGAGACCATGTGCAGAAACTCATGAGAATAATGTGAAGAAGAAGCCGGCGAGGTAGAGGAGCAGCGCGAAGGACACGATGAAGAGGATGATGAGCGTGGCGAAGGGCAGCTGAGGAAGGCCCGGCACGCCCGGGTCAAAGGGTCGTGGAGTTAGACGCCAGCGTCGCCACGCGGCCTCCGCGCTTCGCCCATGACCTGGAGCACAACAGAGCAGAGGTCAGAGGTCACCACACATCCCAGAATACGAGAACCACAAAAACAGAGAGTTTTTATTCAAATGATTAATATTTTAGTTGCTCTAAATACTAACACTCAGTTTATGACTCTTTTCTATTCAGCTGTATCATTATAACCAGATACAGAAAATAATATTTTAAAATTAAAATGATGGTTTTACCTGCGCAGAAATAAACTAAACACACAAATAATCACTGTCTCATAATCATGTTATTGTAAGCAGTAAAGATAAATACTTTTAATGTGGGGCGTCTTCAGGGAAGACAGGTGTGAAGTGTAATGATGCACCTGAGCCACCAGGGGCAGCAAAGCCTCATGTATTGAGTTTAAATGGAGGCCATTTTGTTTCACCTCACAGGCCTGGTGTTTGATGGCGTTAATATTTATGTTTTGGACAAATCAGAGTCAGAATGTTTGAAAATATCAGAATTTAGACATTTTGTGTTTTTCTTGTGTTGTTTGCAGATGATCTGATAAAATCTCCTCACTCGGCCAGAAGAAGAGATTCTGACTCCTGTGGCTTTAATTTTATATTTTCCCCACAAATTGATCCAACATGGGGCCCAGTCATTCAGAGCCAATTTATTGGAAAAATACACATTTTTATGGGAACAGAAAAAACTAAAATAAGTTACTGATTATTGACCCAGTCAAGGCTCAGTGGGTTTTTAAGCATCTGGACTCAAATAAAAATACAAAAAGATGCTAAATATAAATTTTACATGGTAGCTTCCCTTTAAAAGTGTAAAAGTGAAAATGTCCTGACAGCATACGAAGCGTGTTTGCTCCCGGGAGCTGGGCAGCGGCCAGCGAGCGCTCAGCGAGTTCTGGAAGTTCTGCCTGCGTGTGGCCCAGACCTTGGGGAACAGAGTCCTGGCCCGGTGGTCCAGCTCTGAGGGAGGAAGAGGAGCAGAGTCAGACACCGGAGCAGAGTCAGACACCGGAGCGGATTGATCTCAGGTCGTGACCCGGGAGCAGGCCGACCTCTGTGGAAGCCGGTGTTGCAGATGAGGCGGCGGCAGAGCGGGCACGGCGTGTGGGCGGCGCGGTTCCGGGCCAGGCGCCGGAGACACGGCTCACAGAACACGTGAGCGCAGGGCAGGCAGCTGCGAGGCCGGAAGAACACGTCCAGACACACGGCGCAGGTCAGACCGTCCCGGTCCGCGTCCTCACAGGCCGGAGGACAGGCCGGAGGACAGGCTGGGGACGACTGGGCCTGAGGTCAGAGGTCACACAGAGGAGGAGGGTAGAAACTGACTCCAAACTTTCTTTACTCATCAATTCTCTACATTCATCTCAGCAAATCAGATTAAAACGAACATTAAATTATAAACATTAATCAGAAGTTAAACAGTTTTTATTATTTCTGAATTAAAACAGATTTTTATTGGTCTGGTGAAATATTATAATCCAGTCTGTTCTTCCTCACCGGCTCGTCCTCCTCTTCCTCCTGCAGCTGACTCTGCAGCCATCTCTCTCTCCTCCTCTGCTTCCTCCTCCGACTCTTCAGTCGGTTCTGGTCCGTTTTGCTCAGTCTGGTCCGGGCCAAGGAGCTCAGAACCCCGGGGCCCTGAGCGGACGACACCTGGCCAGGAGAAAACCAGAACCGGGTCAGAACCAGCAGCTCAACCAAAGTCTCCCCTGGTTTTGGTTCTGACCCGTTTAGTTTGTTCCTGGTTTCATTTTGTAAAGAAAATCGAGGAACCTGCGTCTCTGTGTTGCTTCCTGCTTATGAAACAACACAGAAAATCCACTGACAGAAATTTCTGAGCTCCAAAAGTAAAAAAATCTCAGAAATTTACTAGAAAAAACTTGGACATTTCTGAGTTTTAAGAGTCGAACGTTTCAGAAATTTGGTGAACTGGTGAAACTTTCAGTAAAACACTTTGAATTGTAATTTCTGGAGTTGAATCCTGAGTTATTCTTCTGTTTATTTTCTTTATGCTGTTTTTAACTTTGCAGCTTCGTCTCCAGGTTTCAGTTTGGCAACAGATTCTACTGGAAAGTAAAACAATAATAGTTTTTCCGTCCTGCGTTGTGAATTTTCCAGATGTAAATAAAAACATTCGACGTTAAAACGTTTCCTATCTGACTCCTGATCCAGTCAGAAAGGTAAACGTACCACTTCCTCCTGCTGCTCTGCTTCTCCCTCAGAGGTGAAACAATCTTCATCTGATTCCTGCGGCGCTGCAGACGGCGATGCTAACGATGCTAATCCTGCTGGAGCGCCAGACTCCCAGGGGACGGCGTCGCTCCAAACCTCATGATCCGCTTCAGCCTTAAGTTCTGTTGTTCTCCGGACAGACGGGTCCAGCTGCGGCGCGTCCATGTCTCCGGCGGCACCGTGCTGTGGGGTCCCGCCGGCACAGACCGGGTCCGGAGCACAGACCGGGTCCGGAGCACAGACCGGCTCCTCCTGCTGGGCCTGCGCCGACCCACGGCCCGGCCTGTGCGGCGGGACGATGAGGAGGCGGGGCTTCTGGTCCAGATCCACGCGGCTGCGGCTGAAGTGGACGGTGGCGTCGCGGCCGCAGGGGCGCGGTACCGGTTCAGGAAGCTGAAGCCGCCCAGCCGAGCCCCACAGTGGAAGCAGTTCAGCTTCCCGGACGTCCAGATGGCCTGAGGACGAGACGGCAGGTTCTGGAAAACTCTAGAAACGGTTCTGATCACAGCTGGCCTGAAGCAACACAAAACTCATGTTTCTGCCTCAGGACCTGGACGACCGTCTGAACCACACGGGCAGGTTTGGGTCACTTCAGGCTGCAGTGACCCAAACCAAAGAGGAAAAGAACCAGAAATCACATTAAATTATGATAAAAACAAACAGGAAGAGGAGAAACCGACCTGCTGAACCGAGGTCCAGATCCACTCTGGTAGATGATCAACATCCATGTGCCAAATGCAGCAGGTGGCCGGAGAGGAGTCTGCTGCCTGGAGACACAAACTGGACCTCAGAGAGACACAAACTGGAACAACTCAAATAAATTTACACTGGGATGAGGTGGTTTTATAAATGTATTTTGTAAAGCTGTACTGAAACATGAGTCACACGATCAACAGCCGGGTGTTACTACTGGAAGAAACCACAAAGAAGACAACAACAGGAAGTGGTTTTAAAAATTCAAAGGAGATGGATGGATAAAAATGATGGATGGATTCATTCTAAAAATCAAAACTTGTTTCCCAGAGTTCACACAGTGGCCAAAATCCTCTTCCTGCAGTGACTCACCACACTAGCAATGCTACATTAAGAAATAATGTAGCATTATTCCTTAATGCTACATTATTAAGTTCAGACTTTTAACCTCCAGTAATAAAAGTATGACCTGGAGGAAAACACAGAGACGCTGAATGTCTGACGCTGAGTCCTCACAATGTTCTGTGTCCAAATCAAACCAGTTTGATTACATTTAAATAAAACTCATTACTGACCGTCACCAAACAGCTGCGTCTCCGACGGCCCTGCGGCAGCGCCGACAGCGGAGCTTCTTTCCATTCATCTTCAACCCATCTGCTGGTCGGGAGGGACGACAACACAAAGCAAACATGTCAAAGGTCAACGGATTATTAAAAACATCCTCAAAATGATATTTTTATTCACTAATTCTGTTCAAAAAGTGACACATTTCATTGGTTCTGCCTTATAGCGACACTTTTTCCTTCCACTAAACATTCCACTCACCTCCCAGAATGAGCTGTAGGCGTTGCCATGGAGACGGATGTGTGGGGTTTGTTAACCACGTGACGGATCCCAGAATCACCAACAGTCGGCCTTCCCATCACATGGATTTAGGACTGAAACTGATCATAAAAAGCATCAAGAGTCAGAAAAATGGAGGAAAACTTCCAGAAAGCTTCCGAACTGTTGATATAAACCCACTTAGAGGGTTTTCAGCGAACTATCAGCTTCTTTAAATCTGGAAATATGAGAAATAATTTAATAATTTCAGACTTTATCACAGCTGGGCTGGTTGAAAAAACACCTGCTGATGCCGAAGAATCAAACTACCAACCAACTGTGACAGAGTTTAATACGTGCATCAGTTTCATTAACGCTTCTTTGTATTAATATCACAGCTTAGCTGTTATTGTCCCTCTAAATGTTTTGCTAATAGCCTGAAAACAAACCGTTTAAACAGTTAGCTTCCTGCTAACTCCGCTAAAGTTAACGTCATAAAGTTTCCCTGACGGATCTGAATCCGCAGACATAAAACTTTCAACGCATGGATGTTATGTTTTATAACCAGTTTGCACGGTTAGGCTTACCGCGGACAACTTTTAAATGTTTAAACGGCCGAGGCGACGAAGTGCTGAGGGTTTAAATCCGTTTGACAACAGGAGAAGAGAGGACGTACGGGACGGCCGGTGGGCCAAAAATGACGAGATCGCTCACCGTCCCAAAGCCAGTAAAGACGAAGCTTCCGCTTTTCTGTCATGATTAAAGGCACATTTAATCTAAAGAATGTTATAAAGCTTAAAAAAAAAACATTATAGCAGTGTCCCCCTACTGGTTCATTTATGTAACTGCAGTTAAAAAATTGGTAGCATCGCAAAAATCAACTTGTTTTGACAAAAAAGTGTTGAAAATGTAATAATTTACTTATTCCGAGTCTGTCATTGTAATAAAATTCAGTTGATATTTTTTTATTTAGCTCAAAGGGAAACAAAATATATATATAATCCAAGTATCTTTAGAATCGATGATATGCTAATTATTAGTATCAAAACGATAATAATAATTATATTTATTTTTAATATTGTTAATACTATTGTTATGATATAATATTATTAAAGTAATGATAATGATATTAATAATAATAGTAACAATAATGATTAATATTAAACATTAATAATAATAAACTATATTTTCATTTAAACTGTGATGACATCGTCATGTTTCTCTGTTTTCTACTAATTTAGGTTTTATATTGTTTGAGGTTAAATCATTCAGAACTTTAGCTTAATATGACATATTAGATAATAATTTATTATGTAATGATAATATAAAATTGTAATGAAATATCAGTAATAATATTAATTATTATCATTATTATAATACTTCTTTTAATTTTGTAATAATTTAGAAATCTTTTCACAGCGTATAAATCATCAGTCCATTTTCAGACCTTGTGTGTTTTATGGTCACCATGCCAACAGCAGGTGGCGCTCTAAGCGCCTCGGTCCGTTTGGTCACTTGGTTCTGAAAAACTGCAATAAAACAAAAACTGTGGCATAAAAACTAAACCAGAGATGAAACCTGGAAGTAAATCAAATGTCCAGTTTAACAGCTGAAACATTAAGAGGAAGCGGAATGGACCAGAACCAGAACCAGAACCGGGCCATGACGCGTTTTCCATCACAGGTATAAATACCTGCATCATTCTCCGTCAGCAGCCGCGACCCGCTCTGCGCTCCTCCCGCAATCAGTCCGCTATGTGCGCTGATCGGCTGCGCATCGGGCTCCGCTAACCGCTCTGTCCGCACCGCGCCGCGCAGCGCCGCACCGCACGCGCCGCGCCAACATGGACGGCACCAACAACACCACAGCCTGGCTCGACTTCCCCAACTCCACCGAACCTGCTGCCGCCGCGGGCGCGGAGGTCAGGCTGAGCTCCCAGCTGCTCACCTCGGTCCTGCTCGGCGCGCTCATCCTGTGCGCAGCCTTCGGGAACGGCTGCGTGGTGGCGGCCATCGCGCTGGAGCGCTCCCTGCAGAACGTGGCCAACTACCTGATCGGCTCCCTGGCCGTCACGACCGACCTGATGGTGTCGGTGCTGGTGCTGCCCATGGCGGCGCTCTACCAGGTTCTGGACCGCTGGACGCTCGGCCCGGTGCCGTGCGACATCTTCATCTCCCTGGACATGGTGTGCTGCACCTCATCCATCCTGCACCTGTGCGCCATCGCTCTGGACCGCTACTGGGCCATCACCGAGCCCATCGACTACATGAAGAAGCGGACGCCGAGGCGAGCCGCGGTTCTGATCAGCGTCACCTGGATAGTCGGGTTCTCCATCTCGGTGCCGCCGATGCTGGTGATGCGCTCCCAGCCGAGCGGCGACGCGGAGGACCAACATAGCCAGATGGAGTGCAAGATCCGGCAGGACCCGTGGTACACGATATACTCCACGTTCGGCGCGTTTTACATCCCGCTGACGCTGATGCTGGTTCTGTACGGGCGGATTTTCAAAGCGGCGCGGTCCGGATCAGGAGGACTGTGCGTAAAACCGAGAAGAAGAAAGTGTCCGACTCGTGCCTGGCGCTGTCGCCGGCGCTCTTCCACAAGAAGCCGCAGGGTGACGCGCAGCAGGGCAAGAGCTGAAGCGCAGCGTGGAGCCGCGGCCGCCGCTTCCGCCGAGCGTCAACGGCGCGGTGAAGCACGCCGACGACGGCGAGTCTCTGGAGATCATCGAGGTGCACAGCAGCTCCAAGGGCCACCTGCCGCTGCCCAACCCCGAGCTCCGCGCCGCTGTTCGAGAGCCGCCACGAAAAGGCGACGGAGGCCAAGCGGAAGATCGCGCTGGCGCGGGAGCGGAAGACGGTGAAGACGCTGGGCATCATCATGGGCACCTTCATCCTCTGCTGGCTGCCCTTCTTCATCGTGGCGCTGGTGATGCCGTTCTGCCGGGAGGCGTGCTACATGCCCGGCTGGCTGGAGGCCGTCATCAACTGGCTGGGATACTCCAACTCCCTGCTCAACCCCATCATCTACGCTTACTTCAACAAAGACTTCCAGAGCGCCTTCAAGAAAATCATCAAGTGTCATTTCTGCAAACCCTGAAGAATCAGAACCGAACCGGAACAGAAACTCGTGTCGATAATCATCGTTAAATATATCAGACTGTCTGTAGACTCAGCATAGATGAAGCTGTGATCGAGGCTCATGTTCGTGTTCATGTAAAGTCCAATAAAAAGTTACTTTTTTCACAAACTCAACTTTTAGGCTGATTTTTATGGGGCAATATTAGTGCCATAAGTCAGAGCACAGATTTTCACAGCAGAATTTCTAAACTTCAAATACTTAAATTCTCAGTTTGAAAGCAGGAACCAATATTAATAACATAAACATTTTTTCACTTGATAATTGAAAACTGGATGTTTTTCTTTTAAAACACAAAAAATTCAAAGTTTCGGCTCAAATGATTTAAACTTACACTTCAGAATTTGCTTAATCAGAATTATAGTTTGCTTAGTTTATTGTTGAGCAGTGAAAAAATCTGCTAACTAAACTAGAAACAACCACACAACAACCTGCAGGAGGCGGGGCTTAGTGCTGTCAATCAAACCTGGCAGCAATTTGAAAAATATATTAACATTCAATTAAAAATGATTGTTAGCTTTTCACATCTATGGTGTTCATAAAGTTTCTATGATGACAGTTTCCAGGCTAAGCTAGGTTAGCAATAGCGCTAACGCTAAAATGAGGCTGTTAAGCTTTACTTGCCACATTATTAGACTAGATTTAATACATTTCAGTAATAATTTCTCTATTAATAATGAAAGAGTTTCTTAAAGAGACAGAGGCCCATCAAATCAGGAAGTGACATTTCTTTTAATTAACATCTGATACATATATACAGCATTTTTAAGATAAAAGCGACACAGTTACTTGATTATAAAATCTAGAGTTGGAGAGTAACTAGTTCAATTTACTTGAGTAATGTTTTTCTAAAAATAATTTTACTTTATTGTACTTTGAGTATTTTTATTATGAAGTATTTCTCCTCTTACTCAAGTAAAACTTCTGGATTTTCTCCTCACTGAATGAAAACAAATCAAAAATCCACCAGACTGAGAGAAACAGCCATTAAAGTTTCATCAGTTTATTATTGAAAGAAACTGATTTGGAAAAATTTTATTTTTGTTATGAAAATTTTATTTGATCTTTAAAGACC